ATATAGTAGTGAAGTATGAAATTGACCAGATCAAGGCCCACACTTGCCTTTTAAGTGAATGTCAAAAATGCATTCCAAAAGGAGACAGAATGGGACAGGACAAAAACTCATTGTAAGTGTAATATTCTGTAATCATTTATTTAATAATGTCTGCTACTATTTAATTGTAATTAGGTTATAATATTTTAAATTATGTGGAAGTAGCACCCAAAACTTGAAAGCACTAAAGTATTATCTGATCAGATTCTTTTTTTCATTACAGGTGAAAGCGAATGATTCTGATCAGGGTGCCAATGCTGAGATTGATTATTCCTTCCATCAGGCTTCAGATGTAATTCATCGGCTGCTACGCTTAGACAGAGCCACTGGACTCATCACAGTACAAGGTCCTGTTGATCGTGAAGATATTAATGTGCTCAAGTTCTCAGTGTTGGCTAAGGACAAGGGAGCTAATCCCAAAACTGCCCGTGCCCAGGTAGTGATCAGTGTCAGGGATATGAATGATAATGCTCCTTCCATTGAAATTCGTGGTATTGGTTTGGTGACTCATCAGGATGGCATTGCCAATATTTCTGAAGATGTGCCAGTTGAGACACCTGTGGCTCTTGTACAAGTGTCTGATCGGGATGAGGGTGAAAATGCTGTTGTGACCTGTGTGGTGGCTGGTGATGTACCTTTTCAGCTACGACAAGCCAGTGATACTGGCAGCGATAGCAAAAAGAAATACTTTCTACAGACCACTACACCCCTGGATTATGAAGCTGTGAAAGAATATACCATTGAGATTGTAGCTGTGGATTCTGGTAATCCACCCCTGTCAAGCACCAATTCCCTAAAAGTGCAGGTGATGGATGTCAATGACAATGATCCAGTGTTTAGCCAGAGCTCAACAGAGGTGGCATTTCCTGAGAATAATTCCCCAAATGACTTGGTGGTAGAAGTGAGTGCTACTGATGCAGATAGTGGATCTAATGCTAAACTGATCTACTCTCTTGCTGGAGAATCTTTATCAAAAGACACCTTCTCAATTGATCCAGAATCTGGTGAAATCCATGTAAAAAATGTGCTGGATCGGGAACAGCAAGAACGCTATGAATTCTTGGTAGTTGCAACTGACAAGGGTAGCCCTAGCCGCAAAGGAACTGCCTCAATTGCTATCAGTGTCATGGATCGCAATGATAATGATCCAAAATTCATGCTCAGTGGCTACAATTTTTCTGTCACGGAAAACATTCCACCACTGAGTCCAGTGGGCATGGTGACAGTTATTGATGCAGACAAAGGAGATAATGCTGTCATTCAACTCTCAGTGGAACAGGATAATGGTGACTTTGTAATCCAAAATGGTACTGGAACCATTCTCTCCAGTATATCTTTTGATCGTGAACGACAGAGTACTTACACTTTCCGTCTTAAAGCTGTGGATGGGGGAGATCCACCAAGATCTGCTTATGTGGGGGTGACAATCAATGTATTAGATGAGAATGACAATGCTCCTGTAATTATATCTCCATCCAATGCTTCCTATAAACATATTCTACCTAACACTAGTCCTGGGCAACAGGTTATGAGTGTTGGAGCTGAAGACATTGATTCTGGGATCAATGCTGAATTACTATTTAGAATTGCTGGTGGAAACCCCTTTGAACTCTTTAAGATTTCATCTGTAAGTGGAAATATCACATTAGAAAAAGAGATTCTCCGCAAGCATCATGGACTTCACCGCTTGGTTGTACATGTAAATGACAAAGGGAAACCTTCTCATCATGGCACAGCATTAGTTCATTTTTATGTGAATGAAACATTGGCTAACCGGACACTGCTGGAGACTCTAGTAGGACACAGCTTGGACACACCTATTGATATTGACATTGCTGGTGATCCAGAGTACGAGCGCAACAAGCAGCGCAGTAATATTTTGTTTGGAGTCATTGCAGGCATAGTAGCTGTCACCTTGATAATTTTGCTTGTTGTGCTGGTACGCTACTGTCGTCAAAAGGAGGCCAAAAGTGGTTATCAAGCTGGCAAAAAGGAAACTAAGGATCTGTATGCTCCCAAACAAAGTAGCAAAGGGAACAACAAAGCTAAAGGCAAAGTGAAAAAAAGCAAATCCACTAAGCCACCAAAACCAACTGAGGATGAAGAAGAAACAGGTCTGCAGAAATCTCTTAAATTCAACCTTATGAATGATTCAGTAAGTGACAGTCCCCGCATTCATCTGCCTCTTAATTATCCACCTGGAAGCCCTGACTTGGGTCGCCATTACCGTTCCAATTCACCTTTGCCTTCCATTCAACTGCAACCCCAATCACCATCTGCCTCCAAGAAGCATCAGGTAGTACAGGATCTCCCAGCCACCAATACATTTGTGGGCACTGGGGACAGCAATTCTACAGGCTCGGAGCAGTATTCAGACTACAGCTACCGTACCAACCCTCAGAAATACACCAATAAACAGGTAGGAGAGATTGTGCTGCACCCTCCCACCATTCCTTCATGCTACAACAGAGCTATATGGACAGAGGTGTGGGAGTGAAATGGACTTGGCCCAGATTGCATGAATGGATTGGCAGGATGCAGGTTGGAGGACTGCAGTGTCCAGATGCATGTTACATTCATAGGACTACTTAGAAAAGAGGCCTCCTTCAATCCAGCAAATTAAGGGAATAAGGGTGCGAGAGTGAGGAGAAGATTGAATGATTGTGGTAAATTAGAGGGCTGATGGCATTTAGGGAAATGAATCCTACCACTTGGGTGCAGCACGAAGGGTTGGGTTGTCAGTGGTCAATGATCCATGCATCAGGATGTATTCAGTTCTGATGTTTCATATTCATTACTATAAAGAAGGTGTTAAAGTCCTAGAAGCCAGGTCTTTGTTTATGGATCCCATTTTCCAGTCATACTTCAATTCAGATATCATTGATCTGAATCAATGACCAGCATTGATTTCTTCTATGGAAACTTGATGCTACCAGAGCCTTAGTATATTTGCAGGTACAGTATGGTAAAATTGAACAATTTTAATGGAGTGACATGGGCCATGGACATAAGATTTTTGCATGCAGAAATGAAATTGATTCCATAGCTAGAATAGTGTGGGGAATCTTTGCTGAGAGGTTAGATTATAAGCAAAGATTACTGCTGCTGGAATTCAAAGCAAGTAAAACCATCTGCTTCAAAATGTTCTGATCTATGATAGAGAACCTGGCAGAACAGAAAAGTGATACATAGTTTGCAAGCTGGGTAGTATATGGGAAATATTGTTAACCACTGAGGCTTTGGTAAGTACAGTTTTGGATGCCATGCTTCAAACTGGCTGCAGTTAATTATAAATAAAAATATGAAACATTCAAGGAATAGTGTTAATCTTCCTTCCATTGTATCATTATTTCCTTCCTTTTGGGGATTATATATGCTAATTTTCCTTCTCAGCTTTGTTCAGGTAAAGTTTTTTTTAAACATTATGTGATGTCAATAAATGTTTCCATTGTTAGCTGATGTGCTATGATGTGTTGGTCACTGACTTTTGTGTTGCAATCTATATTGCAGTGGTGGGGAAGCCAAATGATGGGGAAGCATGATGGGTATGATGACATTGCTTTTGGAGATTGTTTCAGCAATTGAAATTATGTTAAATTTTTAGTTACCACAAATGGAAAAAAACAAATCATATTAAGCAAATCATAGGAACCAATATGAATTTCACCCAAATGTATATGAGAATCAATTTGGAATAAAGTTGTGACAGAAAATTTTATTTTTGATGTTTTCAGAGAGATTTAGTGTGCTGATTTAAAAACAAAAAGTGCCTTTTTACAAATACTTTATTTATTTATTTATTTTTATTTATAATTTAATTTGTATCCCGCCCTTCTCCTCACCGGACTCAGGGCGGCTAACAGCCTTATAAAACAACATTACAATAAATATCCATATTAAAACCAAATTAAAAGAAAATATTCGTAAAGGCCAATCGTTAAAATTACCCTTAAAATTACCCTTAAAAACCCCACTAAAATTCC